TCAATAAATGGGTCGACTTACCTTTTGAGTTAGTTCACACCGATGTTTGGGGTCCATGTCTTATTATCTCTAAAACTGGTTTTAGATATTTTGTTACCTTTGTGGATGATCATTCTCGTGTTACTTGGTTATATTTAATGAAAAATCGTTCGGAGTTGTTTTCAATTTTTTGTGCTTTTTGTGCTGAAATAAAAACTCATTTTAATGTTTCCGTTCGTAATTTAAGGAGTGACAATGCAAAAGAATATTTTTCGGATTTGTTTAAAGATTATATGGCTACAAATGGTATTCTACATCAATCTTCTTGTGTTGACACCCCTACTCAAAATGGGGTTGCGGAACGAAAAAATAGACATCTTCTTAGAAGTAGGCCGAGCACTCCTCTTTCAAATGAAAGTGCCAAAATGTTTTTGGGCTGATGCCGTCTCTACAGCTTGTTTTTTAATAAATCGTACGCCATCTTCTGTACTTCATGGTAATATTCCTTACAACATTCTTTTTTTCTCTAAGCCATTATTTCCTATTGAACCCAAAATATTTGGTTGTACTTGTTTTGTTCGTGATGTTCGTCCACAGGTAACTAAATTAGATCCAAAGGCCCTTAAGTGTGTGTTCTTAGGGTACTCACGTCTTCAGAAAGGTTATCGGTGTTATTCTCCAGATCTCAAAAGGTACTTAGTGTCTGCNTACTTGTTAGCTGAAACTTGAAAGTTGGGATCTAAACCATGCAGCATGCCAATGGCTCCTAACACACAACTCGTGAAAGAAGACGGTGAGATATTCGAAGATCCAGAGAAATATAGGAGATTGGTTGGGAAACTGAACTATCTTACAGTAACTCGTCCCGATATCGCATACTCTGTCAGCATTGTGAGTCAGTTTATGTCTTCCCCAACAGTCAGGCATTGGGCGGCTCTGGAGCAGATTCTTTGTTATCTAAAGGGATCTCCAGGACGGGGTCTAGTATATAAGAATAATGAACACACTAACATTGAGTGTTTCACAGATGCAGATTGGGCAGGGTCAAAAGCCGATAGGAGATCCACGACAGGATATTGCGTTTTTGTTGGTGGAAACTTGATTTCGTGGAAGAGTAAGAAACAAAATGTCGTATCTCGATCTAGTGCGGAAGCAGAATACAGAGCTATGGCACAATCTGTGTGTGAGGTTGTATGGGTACATCAACTATTAAGTGAAGTTGGCTTCCAAACTACATTGCCAGCAAAGTTGTGGTGTGATAATCAAGCTGCTCTTCATATCTCCTCTAATCCTGTATTTCACGAAAGGACTAAGCACATTGAAATAGATTGTCACTTTGTTCGTGAAAAGATTCAACAAAAGCTCATCTCTACAGGTCATGTTAGAACTGGAGATCAATTGGGAGACATTTTCACAAAAGCTTTGAATGGAGCTCGAGTTGAATATATCTGTAACAAGTTGGGCATGATCAATATATATGCTCCAACTTGAGGGGGAGTGTTGACATACAAGTTGTCTAGCACATGTATACACATGTACTACATCATAGCTAGCACATGTATATGAGTTGTATAGTAGGTGTAATACAAGTTGTGTAGCACATGTATACACATGTACTACATCATAGCTAGCACATGTATATGAGTTGTATAGTAGGTGTAATTAGGTGTATGGCAACTAATAGATTAGGTGAATTAGTATTATAAATAGGCCTTGTAATCTTCTCTTCTAGATATGAAATATAGAACTTCTTTGGTTTCTAACAGACTTGTTAAATATACATGTCCATCATGAGAAGTCATAAAAGACTCAACCACTAACATATCAAATAGCTATTGGCTTCCACTTCTGCAGTAACTTCTTCAAATCTGTTACAAATTTATGAAAGAGAAATTAAAGACCACAGGCTTATCATTTTGAGTAGCTATTGGCTTTTACTGTGTTTAATCATGCACAAGGCATCTCGCGTTCATGCAGGGTCAGGGAAGGGCCGTACCCCAAGAGATGTGATGTGGATAACCTACCTTGCTGCGAGCATTAGTGGTTTCTTCCACCGCTCGAACCCGTGACCTATAGGTCACACGGAGACAACTTTACCGTTGCTCCAAGGCTCCCATTCCAAGTTATAAGGCATCATTATCTCCAGCTTCATACAATAATAAAATTTATTCTCTTTTTTAAGACATCTAATTGTTTGGTTGACTTACAAATGTGATCATAAAATTACATCTTAATCAGCAACTCAAATCTTTTATATTCAGTAAGATATCAAGGCGCCTGACTAAAAGTGAGCAAAAGCTAGAGACAAGTGCAGGAAAATTTAAAAAACAAGAGATACCTCTTAAACGTGATGCAACACTTCCGTTCTCCATGTATGGATAAACAAGCACGCGCTCAGTGGGAGTCATGCAAAAGCCCCTTAAACGCAGTAGATTTCGGTGTACAGCCATGCTGATCATTTCTACTTCTGTCTGAAACTGCAACTCCCCACCTTGAGTACGTTCCTCTTTTAGTCTTTTCACTGCAACTAAAGAGCCATCAGCTAACCGGCCCTTATAAACCTTACCAAATCCACCTCTACCAAGTATATTTCTGTTGCTAAAATTATCTGATGCAACTTGTAGTTCACGCAAGGAAAACCTCTTGAGTTGTCCTAGATGAACTTCTGGATCCTCTTCAGCTGCAAAAAAGCAGTTATAATAACTGAGTAAGAACACATCAAGTGGAAAGTACAATTAACTCAAATTTCAGTTTGAGTGTCCGAACCAGGAACATCAAAGAAGTGATCTTGTGGTTTCCTCCGACGCCACCAAACAAGAAAAATTGCAGGAGCTGCAAATAGAAGAGCAGCGCCTGCAGCAACTCCTCCAGCGATGGCTCCAGTTGCACTGTTGCCCACTGAAAAGATGATCGAGTTTCCAATACATAAGCTGATTTAACTTTTATTTGTACGACCTGAATTTAAATGTACAAGCAATTCTAAATAATATAAGGTACTTTTGATACACTACCACTCACACTTCAGAGTTTACAGTAAATCTAATTTCCGAAAAAAGAAAAAAAGATGCAGAGTTGAAAAGTTTAGTTTGGAAGTCATGCGTGCTAGATTACAACAAGACTCCAACACCTGTACAACTGATCTAAAAAAGCTAACAATATTTATTAGTGCCTTAAGTAATAATAACTTTTATTTGTAAATGCTTTCATAAGGGAATCCTGTTTGTTCTCTTCCCCAGGCAACAGGCCTTTCCTTTCTTCCCATAGCCTGCTCCCCTTCTCGTGAATAATCTAAAGGATTCTTTTCACAAAAACTAAATTGGAAAAGGGAAAAAGGAGAGGTAGCACAGTTTCATAACAGTATAAACACAAATAATCTCAACAAACCTGAAGAAGAAGATGAGGGTGTAGGAGGAAGAGGAGGAGGCGGAGAAGCTGGAGGAACTTCCAATTGGTTATTAGCAAAACTGAAATATAGGTACTCTATAGTTAGATATTCAATTTTGTTACTTCAGGAACAGAAAGTAACAACAAACTTGTGCTTCTGACACACCTTATAGGAGTAAAAAGCGTAAAGGAACCATTGACTGGAACTGGTCCTGTCAAATGATTGCTTGAGAGATCACTGCATTGCAAGGAAATGAAAATTAGTTACCCAAAAGAAGTAGACCAACACAGACAACAGACAGTACTTGATAAATAAGGGAACAACTTTATACTTACAGTACTTGAAGTGCAACAATGGTGGTTAGAGACATGGGAATACGTCCACTCAAACTGTTATTATTCAGCCTCCTTCAATTCAGAAAAGAAAAAAAGGATAAGAAAAAAGAAGGTCGATCATGGGCAAGTAAACAACAACAACAATGAACCCAGTGTAATCCCATAAATGGGGTCCGGGGAGGCTAGTGTGTACGCAGACCTTACCCCTACCATACAAAGATAGAGAGGTTGTTTCCGATAGGCCCTCGGCAAAGAAGGTTGTCAAAGCGAATAGAGCTCATTACTCTGTAACACTCCTCAAACTTATAAAAGTTTCGAGACACGCTAACTATAGAACTAGATTATTACTATTTTTTTATTATTTTTATCTTGCCTATAGTGATATATATATATAAGTGGATATACAATTAGAAAAAAATATAATAGTTTTAATATTATTAATTATTAAAAGTGGATATCATTAATTATTAGTTAAGTTTTAAAAAAAAAGGGATTAACCTAAAGCCCATAAAGTAGTTATTGTAAACAAAGGCTTAAAGCCTTATACAAAAAAAAAAAAAAAAAAAAAAAACGTATCTGCCTTTTCAAAAGGCATAAGACAAAAGGCTTAAAAAGCCTTAATCAAGTCAAGATTTAAAAAGCCTGAAGGCTGAGGACTCTTATACGAAAAAAAAAACAGAAGATTTAAACTTTTATTCATTCACGCAATTCTTATACGGGAAAAAGAATCAAAACGTTGTTCTGTTCAGCAGCGAATGCAAGGCACGCAGGCAGCAACAAAAAAAAAATTCTAGGATTCTTTACAAATTACGAATTCTTGAACTTAGGTATATAAATTCCCTATTGTCAATTATCCTACAGTAGTAGTAGGTAAGAATTGAATAGTTAATTCACTTTTTTCTCTATATAAACAATAAATTTCATATTTAAGTGTAGTACTTTAAAATTAATTAAAATGCACTGGTTGTTGTAGAATTAATTGTTTGATGGGTATAAATTGGAGTGGGCTCTACGTATTGGCTCAAGGAGTTTTGAGGTGAGTTGATATAACTCTTTACTAAAGTGGTTTAACTCACAAAAGCACGCACACAAGGTGTTTGATGAATTGCATAAAAGAGTTAATATATACTTAATTGGAGTAGTAAGTACCTATTAGCTTAGAATTATTTTCTAGCTAAAGTTTAGATGATTATTTGGATATATGTGCATAAATTTCAGATTTTTATGTTATTCTTATATGTCATTTTCATGTTGAAAATTCATGAAGGATCAAGAACCTTTATAAATACTTTTGAATGTTTATTTCATTCTTATGTCATGCCTTACATTTAATGATACCAGTATGAGTATGTATAAATGATTTAGACTTGAAAAATCACAAGAAGAAGTTTTAGAAAGAAAACATTTTTGGGAGTATCCTTTATTTTGAGAAGGGGTCATCGTCCAGGCCTAGGGTCCTGACCAAGGCATTGACTTCCTGAAACTACTT